GTGCATGAACCGAACGGACGGTTTTCATAAACCGTTCCATCCCTAGTAGAAAAGAATCTTCAATTCTTTATTAAATACAAACTAATAAACATTTGATGGGCTTATTAAGACTTAACACCAATGCCTTAAAAACAAAAACAAAAAAAACAAAAAAACAAAAACAGCTGCCTACAGAACCCAATCGGTATACCCTTATACAGCTATGCCAATAATTGCTGTAGTATTTATTGACAGTTGCTGCAATACCTGTAGATAAATATGTTTGTGTAGGTGTCTAAATTTGTAAATATCCCTTTGTTCATAACAACTTTATAAAAATACAACAACACAGTATGAATCACAGATTTACTTGAATGAAATACTGCATGAAACTGTTGCATTTCTCACCAGTTGGTGGTGATAATGCTAGAGATGTGGCAGTCTGGTACCTGAATCAGATATCAACTTCAGATCAGATATCAGATGAATGACATTTATCTAGCAGTCTGATCTAATTTCTTTTTATTAGCAATATAATTACAGCGTTCCACTTATTTCTTTGATTTCTCTGAATGTTTATCTCAAGCCTGATGCCTTTATTCACATGGCAAAGTATATGGTTCGTTCATTCAATGGTATTATCAGATTGGTACTTCTTTTAGCTGTTGACCACTAAAATAGAAAAATAAGGATTTTGGTTGTATATAGTTAAAGTGGGAAGAAAGCAGGAGCATGTTCAGCTTAGTTTGGAGTTTACTGATGTCTCAAGTTTTCTTGAGTCAGTGAGCTGCACTTTGCTAATGATAGAAAAAAAAAAAAATACTAAAACTACATAATCAGAACCATATAAAGTTCTCGTTTGTAGTAAAAAGAACAGTTTCAGTGTTTCAATAAAAATGACCCAAGCAGGCAGATTTTATTTCCTATAGTTAATTATTTACATAAGCTGGTGTGTTCAGATTATAAATAAATTCTTTATGTATATTATTTTGCATTTTTATAGAGATTCACTAATGAAGACCATTTGGCTGTCCACAAACACAAACATGAGATGACACTGAAGTTTGGCCCAGCAAGAAATGATAATCTTATCATTGCAGGTGAGTGCTCTTCCGGTTTCAGTTTAGCTAATTAAATGCATTCAAGTTTTTTTAGCCTAAGGTCAGGTTGCTTTACAGATCAAACTCCTACACCCACCCGCTTTTTGAAGAACTGCGAGGAAGTCGGGCTCTTTAACGAACTCGCAAGTCCTTTTGATCATGACTTTAAAAAAGCAACTGAAGATGACATCAAAAAGGTTCTAAACTTACTTTCACATGATCCTACTTCTGTGTCTGTTTGGAACTCTGTCTGATAAATTTTGTTCTGTTTTCTTTTTTCTTTTTTTCCCCTGTGTTTTAGTTACCACTTGATTTGTCACCTCTTGCTACTCCCATTATACGGAACAAAATTGAGGAACCTCCAGTTATAGATGCACATAGAGACAGCCCCCTGCCTCATCCTGAATCCACTACAAGTGATGATAAGGTAAAGCTTAAAACAATCTTGATGTTTTTTGCTGTTTGTAATGTTCTCCTGATTAATCTAATTAACTGCTGTAAAATTTGTGAATTTATTATTATGACTAAAAATTTTTTGCTTGAAACCTGTCTTGAGTTTTTTTTTTTTTTTTCTTGGGTATATGTAATGATAATAGGACCACTGCACATAGAAAGACTACTTCTACTCCTGAAAAGATTGACTCCCGAGGTGTTAGAGCTGTACAATTAACTGATCTGGTGTCTATGACGCATTCCTGCAGCTATGGTCTTGTATGGTGTTTTCAGGACTTAACTTTGCAGCCAGCCTCACTGCCAACATCCACTATAGTCCATCCTGCATCCCTTCAAGTTCCCAATGTACTCCTAGCAACCACAGAGGCTAGTGTTGTAATACAGCCAGCTCTCCCATCGCCAACATCTAGCTCTGTTATTACCCAAGTCCCCTCCACTAATAGGCCTCTAGTGTAAGTAATGAAATGCGTCCATTTTGAAAACATCTTAGTTTTTATGAAATCGGTTGTGCAGTTTATCATGGTGAGCTTGTTTTTGTTTTATTTTTTATGCGGCATGTGCTTGTTTTTTTTATTTCTTTGCACAAAAGGTTGTTTGGTTTTTTTGCTGCAAAAAATTTAAGTTCCAACTATTTTAGAACAAAGTCAGTGTTGTTCAGATAAAATATACAGTGTTTTTTTATCCATTTAATGGGGAGTAAAGAAAAAGAATATGCCAGCCTTTAATCTTTCCCCTTTTTAAGCACATTATTTCTGATTGCCTATGTCAGCTTTGGCTGTTTTGAAACGTTAAAACTGATAGTATAGTGGTGGCAGTATCATGGTGAGAGTTTTTTTTGCTGCCAGTACAAGGTGGATTAATATTTCTTATTCATTACATGTATTAGAACATAAATACTTTTCTTTACAAACTCAGTTTTTTTATTCAATTCCATCACAAAGGATATTTGAACTAAAAAACATATATATATATATATATATATTCATGCTGAACCGTTACCTCTGAGTTGATTTATCTGCATCTGCCACAAGGAAACAGCACTGTATATGGTGGAGCAACACTGATAAAACGTATGCGGTCAGTTTCTTTTTTGCTTTTTTTTTTTTGTTTGTTTGGTTTTTTTGTACTTCTGTGATCTGTGATATTTTTATTATTTTTAATTTTCAGAACTTGCTTTGTATTATTTAAACATTTCACCATCAGTCGTCCTCTAAATATGTCATCATATAGAAGTTCAGATTTTATTTAATTTTGTTTCTTTAAGTGAGTGGAGTTAACAGCAGTCAGTATTTGCCCCATAGTAGAAGTCCAGCCTAGTATGTATAGTGAGTGAAGAGCTAGAAATTAAAACCTGAGAGCTGAAAGAAACAAATTTCAAAAGCAAATGCCTCTAACTACTTAATGCATTTTTTAAGAACCGCAACACTAACTATCCCTTAAAGGTGTAGAGGAGGATTCTCGCAAATTTTTTAAAAGACCCTCCATCAACCCCGTACCTGCTCCCGAGAGGGAATGCGTATTAAACGCGTGTGAGAGCATGCACGAGGGGAAATTGGCATGTGCATGCTCTGTTTAAAAGTTGCTATTTACATTGCACGTATAAGTTCCTAAATCCCTTAATCACTATACAGAGCGGGGACTATATAGTGGACTTTATTACCCGATTTACACTACCCTTAAAAAACCGATCCATGCCGAGCTCGGTTCTGACGACCTTTTACACATCATGCTATCTCGGTTCCTCGCCTCCTTGTCTCCTAGTGATGATCTGCGGTATTACTGCCAGTATTGAAGGAGGAAATCAAGCAGTTGGTGGCGCTAATGCACCAAAAGTTGTTTGCCAACCGTCATAAAACACAAGAAGAAGAAGACGAAGAAGGAGGGAATCAAGCAAATAAAAATGTTGCGTTGAGAAGATTTCGATTGTTGTTTATAGTTGTTATTCTTTTTCTGTTTTGTGTTGGTTGGAAAGCAACTTCCGGAGGGGCATTACCGCCATCTACTGGAATGGAGTGTGAATCAGGATGTGCAGCCAGACGGAGATGAAGCGTTCTGCTCTTGTTATCAGAGAAGCGAGCCAGGGAAAAACCGCGCCAAGCTCACCTCTGGAACCGGTCTGCAGTTAGCTTGGTTTGGCTGTGTCTAGCTTGGTTCAGTTCAGTTTGCTAACCATTTACATACGATAAGTTATCTCAGTTACTGAGCTCGGACCCCTCTCGGCACGGTTTTTCAAGGGTAGTGTAAATGGGGTATTTATCCTTATTGGTAATGTAAATTCCTCGTTGTTAATTGTCACCGCTGTCGGGTAGCAACAGCGGGCCCCTGTGAAAGCAAATCTCATAATGCTTTGCTCTGAGAACTCTCTGTGCAAAGCATTCCACGATATATCTGCCTCTTCTGAGGCCTTTCTTTTCTTCTCAAACGCTTCTTGAAGACACTTTTTCTCTTATGACCCTCGGTCGTTTTCAAAGAACCGCCGTGAAAAAGCTGAACTTCACCACAGATATATACCTGAAAGTGCGCATGAGCAGAAAAAGATAGCTAACTGAGACGAGCGCGTAGGACGGCCTTTCGTAAACATATCAACAGAAAGATTGACAATTTGCAGGACTACTTATTTTGATGATCCAACGGGGAAAAGAAAATCCTCCACTACAGCTTTAAGGTGTCCGTGGTTACTTAAGTTTTGTGAACATGTTCACAAAACTTGTTCTAGTCAATGAACCAGTTTTATTGAGCAGAAATTAGTTTATCGCAAAACTAGAAAGTTCATAGTTTAAATTGCTAACTTATGCAAATTCAACAGGCATATAAAGTTATAATTGGTTCCACTATAGAAAGTTGTTAGCACCAATCAAAACAACTTTCTTTCTTTAAATAAATATTCTGATTGCTTTCTGCTGAAGGTTTAATACTGACTGCTGACAGTAACTATGCACAACATAATAATTTAAAAAAAGAATGAAGCCTTCACTTGAGGATATTCATTCTGTTTCTGTATTAACTGGTTATATTTTACTTTATTGTGGTTTCTTCTCTCTTTTAGCCCAGTGACTGGCACCTTCCCTGTGCTCCTACAGTTGCCTAATGGTCAGACCATGCCTGTTGCAATACCTGCATCTATTACAAGCTCAAGTGTACATATTCCAACTACTATTCCCGTGAGTCTCCTGGCAAAAATATTCTGCATAAATTGTGTTTGATCTTCTTGCGAACAGTGAATGCACCTTTTCCCTTTCCCAGCATAAGCCAGGTTGGTACTGTGTAGAATTCAAATTGAACTATGCAATAGGGAGGGACATTCAGTATGATTCTTCAAGCTGATTGGGTGAATCTGTGTCAAGCTTTTGACCAATCGCAGCAAAAGCTGTTCCGTGAAACGTTCTTGATCTGTTTCACAACTGGTGGAGTTAACTGATAAATCAAACTCTTACCGGATCTAGTTCGGAGGAACATACAAACCTCTTTCCCATCCACAAAAGCAAAAATTGTATCCTTTTGGTCGTATTTCAAAAGGAAATGGAGGGTGTTCCAGTTTAACTGGCGCAGCAATATTTGTTTTGCTTCAGGTTGATGTTTTACACAACACTGCATTTCATTGGTCCAAAACATTTCTTTATTGATGCTAATGCATTTTTTAGCTTCTAGCAAGTTGTCTTTTTGTTAGTTTGTGAATTCAAAAACCTCGCAATCTTGCTAGTAAGGTAACCATCTCCCTCACATTTAGCAAAAATATATATATTGTTTTTATAGAAAGCCACAAAATAATCAGTTGTTAAAAAGAAGTTATTTTTTTCACCTTGACCAGTGACCAGCTGTAGTGATTTTAAACATTACACAATATAGAAGCCATTTTAGCTTTTATAGTAGCTTCTCTTGTTAAATCCAGGTTAAAAGAACTGATGCATGCTTCCATGTTATAATTGAAATGGATGCACGGTTTTGCTTATGGGTAAATCCGAAACTATTTTATCTGTAAAATTAGATGAAGACTTACCAAATGTATGCATATTGCATATGTTATTGCTGCTGTTGTACAGAACAACAGTGGGTGATTCTGCCCTGTAATTTGGCGGTCACCTCTAAGAATGACAGGTTGAGTGAAATAATGGGCTTACAAGTAAAACAGTCTGTCACTGTTGGAACGGAATGGGATTTGGCTAAGCTGCTGCAGGCTTAAGGCCAGGATATTTCACAGAGATTTATCCTTGTAGAATTAAACAGACCATTTTTGACTCCCAGCACAATTGTAAGGTTGTACAAATATGTTGACAGTCAGACACTAATATAGGTGGAGGTATGGTCCGTGGATTTTTAAATCCCTCATGTGGAGGTCTCTGTTATTGTACAGTTTAGTCCTGATTGTCTGGAACTCTGAGCAGCAGATGATTATCTTCTGATGGTGGCACAGCAGGGAAAACCTCTGTCTCCCCCTGTCTGATGGGATAAGTAGATCCTCTGGCAAGTAAAGAAGAGCTGAGGTAGATGGAGAACATGCGCCACCATTGGGGCTTCCTCTTCCTCCATCATATCCTCCTCCCTGTGCTCCCCACGTCCCTCTCCATCTCGCTGTCGGCGGCTGTGAGAAGAGGCCTGAATTTGGCCTTCTGACTCATGTCTCTCCATCCTTTTCTCAGCTTCCCTGTCCATATGCTCTCACTCAGGCAGGCAGTGGTTCATTAGCGTGCACGCTGCATCTCCATGTGGCGCTGCCTTTGCAAAATAACAGGCCATCCAACCTAATGAGGCTGAGATATGGAAGAGGGGGTGCTGAGAGTCTGCCATAGCTGTGTGTGTTTATGTCGCGGGGCGGGGGGGCCGGCACCCAGCTTTATTCCTGCCGGAGACTAATTTTCTCAGGCCTGATCTGTGTCTGTGTTTCTGTTGTCAGCTTGTCAGACCTGTCACCGTAGTGCCTGCCGTCCCTGGAATCCCTGGACCCGCCTCGCCACAACCTCAGCCCGTCCAATCAGAAGCAAAGCTGGTATTTATTACCTCATTTACATCAGATATCATTTCCATGCTGTGTCTGTTATTTCCCATCTGAGAGAGATGATAACAACCAAGGTAATGAGAGGTTCTAGCATTAGGGGAATAATAAGACAGTTAGCCTTTTTCCCCTGTAAGATTTTAATTACCCCTTTCTTTATTTAATGCTCCATCTGGAGTCTCTGTGTACTGATAATCAAAAGTAGCTTTATTTATTTATCAGACAAGATTTATTGTTCTATCCTTTAGTAAAAAATCTTAACTACAAACAACAAAGATTATCATTTTGTTTTTTTAGGGTTTAAGTCAACTGATCACTTCCCTGATCCAACCCAGAGGGTTCTCCCAAATCTGTAAAGATTATAAACTGAAGAGGTGAGACAGGGTTGCAGGAGCAGTTAGAAAAAGTGATACAAATCAAGTAGAAGGGAGCAGCAGTATCTTCAGTTGTGAACGTTTTTCCAGTGTCTGATCTGATATTTCCAATGATCAACAGAATCTGTTTTGAAGACTTTTTGTGTATGAATAAAAAAATGTTTCATGTACTCAGAGCATCAACCCATGAAGGATGCCCTCTACACATTTAGGTACATGCATCATGGCACAATTTTATGTTGCCTTCTTTTATTAATAGACTCCTCAATTTAGTAACTAATTTAAATGCTGTATTTCCTAAGGAAAAATCTAGAAAAATCTACATTGGCTTAAATGTGTACAGGCTGGTAAAAGCTTTACAAACACTGGAAAAAAATTAAATGTACCACAAATAATTTTACAGGACATCTTTGCATAAAAACATTTTCCAATAACCTTTTTACAATAATAATAGAAGTTTACTGTAGAAAATTATATATATAGAAGTTAAAGATAGTTAATATTAGGAAGAAATAGCACTACTAATTTTAAATGATCTAGCTTTCCTGATGTCAAATGTTGTTTGAATTTTGCCAATCACCATTTCCATCAATTATTTCTGTTCCTTTATTTTAGCTGACACCATTTACCATACCATGGGAATTAAAAAAGACACAAATAGTTAAAGGTATACAAAAATAACTTGGAAAAAACATACTTTTTTATCTTACCATGGAGTTTTCTTCCTCAGCAGAACGATGGATAAATGTGTCAAATGAATAACCCAGCTATATAAAGTTAACAATAGCTAAATAAAATTGCCAACAAAACGTGACTTAATTATCAGTAGCAGCCAAATTAATATTGTGTACATGTACAGCTTTTAAGAATAGATACTTTTTTATAACCCTAAATTCTTAAAACATCAATAATAAGACAAAGATTCACATATGCACAAAATGTTATCACATGAGAGTTTCAGAACTTTGAGGTGGTTCAATTAATTTTTGCTGTCAATGATTTCCTTTTAAAGAATCACCATTTTATTAATTATATTTCAGAACTGAGAAAATCAGAAGCAGTTTGACATTTCAGAAATCCACATCTGGGAATAAAAGTGTGCTAAAGAAGCATGTCCCTCTATGACTCCACATTTACAGCAGTAGTGATGGTCTATATAATAGAAGTGATCGTTAAAGCCCACTGGTATTAAATGTGTGGGTGGGAGATCAGTGGCAGTGTGATGAAGCATGAATCCCAGAACCTGTAAAACATGGTGTAAATGTTCACAGCGTGCAGAAATGATCAGCTAAACCGTGAAAAGGTGTACGTATTGAATAGGAAGAACTGATCCCGACTGCTGGGGAGTTATTCAAGATTATGCGTTGCAGAGATGACAAACGCAGAGACGTGTTTTTTTTTTTTGCGCAGCACAGCGTCAGCGGGCCCAACCTGACTCAAGGGTGGGGGGTGGCAATGGCTGAAAGCCAGCTGGGGGCATCCTGGCAAACGCTCAGCGAGGCACATTAAGTCAGCCTCACCCTGCATGGAACCTTTTGTTCAGCAGAATCCTGCCTGACCTGCATCCCACCCCCCTCCTCCTCACTGCCAGCGCCCCCCCACCACACTCGGCTCATCAGCAAACACCTAATGAGCCTGCATCAAGAAAACAGACCCCCAGCTCAACCTGCCCGCCTCCCAACCCCCCCGCACAGCTCTCGTGAGGAGGGGAGCCGGCGTAGACGGTGCTTTACAAGGACTGATGATGCTGCAAAGACCACAATAATGATAATTAACTTGCTGAATTTAGAAGATTATGCTGTTAATTAGTTGCAAAATAAAGATAAGTAATATAGTAGCAGATGGTTGAATAAAACCCATGAGATGGAGGGTTATTACACTGATGAGGTTTCCATGGCAGAGATGAAATATGGATCTGACTAGCTTTTCCCTCATTCTGCAGACCATTCCAGGAGAATAATATCTTGTTTCTGCCAGAAGAGCTTCTGGAAGGGTATTACACGATAAACTAATTTGGTAGATAGATTGGTCTGGCAAAGGTAGCTGTTAGAATAATGCGCTGCTCTGTTTTGCCATGTAAATGTATTCTCGCTCACTTTGTTATTGCTTGGAGAGCCTCATTCACTTTCACCTTCTTTCCTAAAGGTTCAGCACTGAAGAAAATTGACCCGTGAATTTCACACCACTGTCTGCACAGGAAGAGTTTTTCAAAACGGATAGTTTTTACTAAGTCATTAGCAGATTTCACTAAATATCCCTCTGTTTAAGTCACATCATGTATGCTAGTACTTAATATAAAAGATTAAACTTTGAAGAAGGGCTGAAAAGTCATAGTGAAGAGAAACACGAAGTCTTTAAAAGGTCTTTTGGTGATTATAACCTCAGCTTACAAACAACAATGAAGATATGTGTTTTTGTTTAAAAGTCGAGGCTAAATGCTGTGACAGGGTGTGAAGTAATTCAATGCACTATACTATACACATGATTAATTAGCTTGCAGGCTCTCTTAGCAGCAGTAACATGAATCAGTAGAGTTATAAAGACAATAGCCCAAATGTCACTTTTCTTTTCCTCAACATCTAAGAAAAATTGAATATTAAATCCGAATACATAAAATTTAATCAAAGATGCTGTAAAATTGGATATTTTAAAGCATCTAGTAAATGTTCTCCATAGTAAAGTCAGGACTTAAGCCTGTCCTTTGTCTGCAGCAAGTGATAAACCTACATCAAAGTAATGACTTATGTTCGACTCGTTTGTTTAGATTTTATGGTTTTTATTTCAACGCTTCCAGCGCAGCTTTCTGTTACAGCCTGTCCTACAGATGAAAAGTAGCCTTTTAGCTAATTCTGGCATTTTAACGTTATGTTCATCAAAATGCATTATCCCTTATAAATATAGTATATTGCTGTACTCGAAGGCAGCATATGACATAAAAACTAGTAGCTATATTAGTTTAAAAATCCTTTGTATTTGGAGTACCTTATGCAGTTTCTCTCACCGCAGCTATAGATAATTATTAACCCCTCTGATCAATACATCGTTATTGCAGATCAAGGGATCACACTAAACATTTAGAAAAACACAATCTTTAATGATGGAACAAATCTTGCATAAAGGAAATGATTGAATCATTATGGCTGATTATTCCTTACAAACTAAATATGACTGAATTCTTTTATTTTTTTTTTCTCTTCAATTTTTCAGTTTCTAATTTAGTATAAACATGGTGTGACACTATGCCCATAATTAATCCAAAGTAATGTTGAAATTTGTAATTGAATAGAAATGACTACTCCCTTTGACTTGACCATATTCACAGACTTAAAACACTCTTTTGATTTACATTCGACACCAAGAGGGGAGGAAACTGGTATGTTTTGAGATTAAACACAGCTTTATATGGCTTGTAGCAAGGCTTTAATGCCACATATTTCTAAGGCCAGCCTTTGCAATACTGTTAGAGCTGTGGGAGCATGCAAACAACCTGAAACCAGTGCAGCAACATGGCATTAAACATGCACTTGTAAAGAGTTTGCAACTTCAGAATGTAATGATATTTAAGGTGCCTCTTTAAGTCAGAGGAAACCAACAACTGAAAACATTTTTTTTATCTAGGGTTTCAGTATTGTCATTATTGAAATAAGGTTTAGAGTTAATATTCCTGCAGCGAAGCTCAGAATCGTTTATAATGCTGGCTGATTTGGATTTAAATTAATTGTTTAAGGGAACCAGCATGTTTCTCCTGACTGGAAGCAATATGGATTTATTGAAATGAGCCAGACGGCTACAGATTAGGTTGATGGGGAGAAGGCCTTCCAGCATTAAACACTGTGAACCCATCATCCAAGATAACTGGTTAAGTGACTGCCGACTGAAACAATGCAAAAAGCTGATCAGCATTAATATCAGAGGTTTTAGTGGCTGTATTAACGCTTAAAAAAGGTTGTTAAGAATGATTTCATTTCCAACATAGAATTTTATATTGAATATAAACGAGAGGAAATGGAAATTTCAAAATTTTTTCTTATATATGTTAGTTAATCCTTTGATAGTTGCTTGTTCAATTCCTATCATAAATGTACTTACTGTAAGAAAAAACAAAAAAAGAAACCCGAAAATCTGCTAAGAATGTGAGTAATTTTGGGCTGAGCTGTGTATTAATGATTGGGAACCGCGTCTTGTTTTCATCATGTTTAAAGCTGCTTCGACATCGGTGTCTGTCTTGGTGTTTTTCAGACGCTGAAAGCAACATTAAGTCAGCAGCTTCCTCAGGTAACCAATGGAGACGGCGGCGAGGTCCAGAGCAGTGCTGTAACCCACACTGTTAATCCCGCTTCCCCGGCTCCAACCCCAACCCCAGCACCGGCTGCAATCTTATCCCCAGCTCCTCAACTGCCTACAAGCGAGGAAGCCTCCACACATTCCCTCCAGCAGCCGGCCACCTCCACCACGGAGACACCAGTAAGTTTTTATGTCAACATGTTCAAATCTAGATAGTTATTAAATAAAATAGAGCATTATTAGAGCTTGAGAGGGCAAATGTGACAATTGCTTTGATACATTTTTGGCATTCAGTTATCTGAAAGATAAAGAATGAAGCTTTGTGCTCAAGTTCTCCCTTTAACAGTGTGGTTCTTCTATTTTATTTATTTTTTCTCCTTTAGGCTTCTCCTGCTCCCCCTCCGCCAAACCCTCCAACCACAGGGGGTAGACGGCGCAGAACCACAAGCGAAGACCCTGACGAGAAGAGGCGCAAGTTCCTGGAACGTAACAGGGCTGCAGCTTCTCGCTGTCGGCAAAAGAGGAAAGTGTGGGTCCAGTCTCTGGAAAAGAAGGCCGAGGACCTCGGCTCCATGAACACACAACTACAGGTAATCCCACCCACCTTTTGCAGGCACCAACCTGTTTGTTTATAAAATTAGTTTATATCTTTGGCGTCAAGCTGCGTAAAAATGCATGCTTTTATCATCAAGTAATGTTGCACCCAGTTTTCTTCTTCTATTGTGATGAAGTCATTAAAGCCGATTAAGCCGAGCTGCCGTTTGACAGCAGCAGAGTGTGAGCCCTTTACGTCGATACGTTCCTGTCAATAAAGATGTATCCTCCAGATGTCAGCCGCACACAAGCGTGTCGCCGCTTCTGTCTCTGCAGTTTACTGAATGGCCTCAAAAATCTCCCAGGGAAAAGGTGTCTTTTTGAACCTTCATTTCGCAGGAAGCAATTAGGATCTGATGCTGACAAGTTCGAAACAGTTCATGTATCTGCTGTCTCTGTTGATAAGTGTGAGCCGGGGGTGCGGCACATCGGTGTTCCAGACAATTAAATGAGATGTGGTGTTTATTTGCTTACCGTCTTTTTTTTTTTTTTGATAAAATCAAGATGTAGAGAAGGAAGGAGGAGGGAAATACTCAGTAGCGTACAATAAACGGGCTTCAGGATGAAATGCAGATAAAAATGAATTTATGACAGATTTTCATGGCTGCATTATCTACAGTTTTGTTTGAATATGTGAAGATTAAAAGCAAGGCATTGCTATGTGAGAGGAGTTATTAACAGAAATGGAACCACAGCACAGAAACAACATGTGGTAGAAAATATAAGGCCACTTTCAATCGAAGCATTAATCAGCAGAGCAGTTTTAGTAAAAAAAAAACATGCTGACATGGCCCAGCTGATCAGCAAAACTGCCTCTAATGATGCACAATTATTTTAACATCATCCTTAACTGGCTTTTTAATGAGGTGTCAGAGCAGACAGCTCACAGAGCTCTCAGCATCGCACAAAGCCCATTTGCTCACTTTCAATTAAGTTAGAAACAAGTTGTCCGGTTTAGGTTACTTTAACTTGTAGCTATGGTGCAGTTAAATGTGTTTATGTAGATTAAGCGGCTGATCTATTGTCAAGTTCCTAATACCACGTTTTAAGCCTAAAGTTTATCACTGAATAAATTGGAAGGAGTATTAAAAAAGAGCAGTCTGTGTTTATATTAGCTTTAAATGGCAGCAGACATGCTGGAAGCACCAGGAATATTGTGCTGGCTATGTGACACATATGTTTCTTCCAGCTGTGTTTTTAATCTGGCTTACAATGGCTAAGTCCTGCCAACAACAGCAAAACCAAACAGATGGAATCAGATAAATTGGCTGCTTTTAGACTAATAGATTAAGCTGCTCGTAGTCCTTTAAAGGAGAGGAGAAGGAGCTTAAATCTGCCACTGGTTGTTGCGTGGGCCCCTGGCCGCTCTAAATCCAGTTAAAGTCACCTTCAGCGTAATGTGGCTCTCTTTTACGACATGCAGAAATCCTCAGCTCTCTTGGGAGCTATAACGACACAGGAGTGTAAATCTCCGCAGCCTCTACGAATTTGTACTGACAAACCTAACAGCTCACCTCTGACAAATGTGCTGGTTGGTAGTCGGTGAAGGCTCATAATTATTGTGCAGCAAGCAGTGTTTTATACTTTATCCGCTATTAATTTATTATATTGTTTCCCGTTTTTGTGTTTTTCGTTCCTCAGGGGAGGAAATGCAAGTTCCCAGGAATAATGCATCGTACTAAAGAACAAATGGGGCCTTGAATTTGTAATTCTCTGATTTCCTCATTAGCTTTAAAAATATGTGGCTATTCCTAAGGGAAGACACAAAACCAGATATAAGGTATATTTGTGTAAATGCTTTTTTTTCCCTGCATTGTTGAGAGAAAACATATTGTTACCTGTGAGATGAATTCTTATTGTATTTGTGAGTTCACAAACACACAAGAATCCAATTTCTACCACTCAGCCATTCAAGACAACTTAAAACGTGTCTGCCAATAATACCGCACTATTATAGTTATTATGGCAAGGTGGGACATAAAGTTAAGATGAAAGCAAGAGCTGCTGAGCTCACATCTAACCATAAAAAACATGGCAGCGCAGGAGGATAGACGTACACGTAGCTGCTTTTATAACGTCTGTTTTGTCAGAATTCAGGATTTTATCTTTCTGGTTTCTCATGGCGTCTGCTGACATTTTCATTTGTCACTGTGATTGGTTAACACCAAATAGTGGTAGGCGGGCGCCAGGTGTCACTTCAACCAATCAGCTCGAAAGGTTCTGCTTCATGTCCCCCCTTTTCCTTGACGGATGCGATGAAAGAAGTCCCAAGTTTAGTGACGCGTGGAACTAAACCTGAGCGCTACACAGTCAGGTTAGAGAAAACATGGTCATCTAGCTGACTGTAGCCATGTGAAAACCAAATTTCTGCCTGTCTTTTGGTTCAGTCAAGCTAGACCTAAAAAGCTGATTCACGTCATTCTCCATAATTAATTTACATTTAATTTCCCTTAGATATAGGTTCAGTAAAGATAATATAATGATTATTAGAACTGAAACAATGAATCAGATTAATTGTGAATTATCAATTGTTGAAATAATTGTCAACTTATGTAGTAATCGTTTAATCGTTTACTGGAGTATAGAGACTGTAAAACATGCCTTTAGCTGACAGAGCAACCCATTTGGAGCAGAAATTATATCAAGATTGTAAAAACAAAAAAATATTTTTGCATTTAAGATTTAAAAAAAATTTCGTTTGTCAATATACTCTATCCAGAACTCCTCAAGTGAAAAAGTTTTAGTTTCACCTGGTTTAATTTAGTAAAAAAATCTCCTTTAAGGTTCTCTAAGGATCCTTTGGTTATCCGATTATTAATCGATCAATCGAAAAACTTATCGACAGATGAATCGATTTGAAAAATATTAGATTAGATGAGCTTTATTGATCTCACAGCGGAGAAATTCACTGGTCACATATTTTGCATAGTAATTAAAGAAGAAGGTGCAAACAAGGAGGAAAAAGGTGCATTAAGAATAAACAATATATATACAGTATATCAAGATAACAATCATTAGTTGAAGCCCTAGTAATAATAATAATAATAACAATAGATCTATAGTAGCAACATTTTCCAACCCTATTACCACAACGTGTTGGTGTACAGTAAAATTTCCCTGCTCATAAGCTGCCTTTAAAAGGTTTAATGGATAAACATTTGGGATTTACTGCCATTTAAGTTATAAAAAACAAAATCTTCTATTTGTTTTATGCAAAATCAGCACATCACATTTTACATTTAACTGAAATATGGTTCACAAATTATTTTTAAAATGTGTATTCCAAGCTCTCCTTAGCATAATGCAATTTGTGGTGCTAATTCGTTTTTTATTTGTGTATACCCAAGAGAACATGATCCTTATTTAAGCTAAGATTTCTAAAAGGTAGCTAACATTTCAAAATTTCTCATTAAAAAGCCAGTTAACTCATTCCTGTTATAAAAGAGGCATGAGTAGAAGGTCAAAAAGGATGGAGCTGAGCTTCTCTGTTCTCTTTCAGCCTTCATATTACCTTCCAAAAGTCTTACCCTCTCTTTATCCTCTAAAACGGCTTCTTTAAATTAGAAATAAGTCAAAAAAGAATTTTTTTTGTACATTTAAATCCGTTACATATTTATGTTTTCAATTGTTATAACCTAAGAATTGTGGATACTTTGAATAAATGTTTGAAAAGGAGATTGTCTAAATCTGATCATGGTGTGCAATGCCCTTATGTGAATAGAGACCAGTTTTGTGATTGTCATTGTTTGTCTCTTCTTTGCTCAAGAATGAAGTCACCCTGCTGAGAAACGAAGTGGCTCAGCTGAAGCAGCTTCTTCTGGCTCATAAAGATTGCCCTGTAACCGTCATGCAGAAGAAGTCTGGCTATCACAGTGAGTAATGTTCCATTATTCTCAGCCTGAGGCAGCATGTGAAACTTGTCTAAAATGAGCTCCAGCTAAGGACACAGCAGAAGAAAATATTGATATGCTCGGATCTATCCTTCTTCATTCTCTGTAAAACTTTCCAGAACTTCAGATCTTTTCATGTAGTGCTGCTGTTCCCATCATTTCAGAGGCCACAGCTGGCATGTGATGTTCTTCATCATCTGGTGCCTTGATAAACATTTGTGAGATGACGTTAAATGTCTGCTCTTCAAGTAGGGTGTCTTTGGTTTTGTCGCACCTGCACGTCGTAATTAAACTTTTTTGTTTAATCCCTAATGTTCTCAGTTTACAGTCATCATCTTTATCAACTCTTAAAGGGTTGCCCTGTTTCTGAGGCTCTCCATTTAAATTTCCTGTTGCCAGCTCGCTCTGCTGAGCATTATAACATGGTCTGATTTAGAATCATTTCACCTATTTTTCTTCGTTCTCGTCAGATAGGGCCTCTGTCATTTAGAGTTTGGGGTCATAACTCACCTTCCCTCACAGATGAGCCTCTTTGGAAAAGAATGCAACACGTCTTCTATACACTGTCGCCCTAAACACATTGTCTGACTTGTATTGACAGTGATTGCCATTAAAATGAGTCCATTAAAGTAGCAGGCTTGTCAAGACTGCAATATATTTTTTTTAACTGTAGAGTGTCTGCCAAGCAGCCCTGTTCATTATGCATTCCTTATTGCCTACCATCTAACAGACACACTTTTTGTGCATGATGGGATTGAAAGCTTGTGGTCCGCTGTTGAAGGCTCATTTGGTTTGGTGTAAATATTGTTTATAGGGGATCCTCAAAAGAATATGGTCATCTTTTCTCTCTCAGATCGGTCGTGTCTCTGTGGGTACTTGTAGAAGATGACACATAGAAGTACTTTTTCCTCCTGTTCGGAGGAATCGACAAGCTAATAGGTAATATGGTTGCCAAGTTAGATTGAATACTGGCATAAACTAAAAATCTAGTTTATATAGAGGCCTGTGGTAACTTTGGAGGAGCTACCAGAATGGAAAAATCTACTTTAAAGTCAATAAAAAGTCTTTGACTTCATGAACCATTATGGATGAGTGGCAAAAAGAAAGCGATTGTTTAGATGACGATTCACCCAAAATCAACTTAGTTTTCTTAATAAACTGTAAATATTTGTTGAAATACTGTCTTTGTTCAGTGCCCTCTGTGGGCACTCCATCAGATTTTCCCTAATATTGAGACCTTATTTGGAGAAATTCAGTCGCTGGTCAGGTGCTGTTGTCCACCTTGGGGCTGTCTCTCCTAAGACTTGGACTTGTGAACCAGTGACATAAAGCTAATGTCAAGTCATAAGAGAAGAGAAGGATGAGGCTCACTCCTTTTGCCCATATTCAGTTCATTTTTCCTCTGCCAAGGAGGTTATTTTTTAGGAAAGTTTGAGCGTGTGGTTGTGTTTGTCTGTGTACAGGATAACTTGAAAAGTTTTGAAACTTTAATAAACCGAGGTGCACCTTAGTCCAAAGAAAGAATCCATTACATTTTGGTGATGATCTGGATCACTGTCTGGATCCAGGAATTTTCTGAAAGATTCCTTGAATACACTTATTAACTTAAGGTGGAAGTCACAATATGTCTGGGGAAATGAGCCACTTAGCGGAGGTCTGGGCTCTCTGAGTGCCTTTTCAGTTTATGATTTTTATAACGGGAAATAAAAAAATAAATCCTTCATTAGAGAAGTTCGTAAAAATAGAACATGCATTGCATTGGATTAAAAAAGTCTGCATCATCTGTTTAGTCTAGTATAATTTTTTGACATTAGTTTTGATACTCAGTCATATGACCTAAAAAGGGGGAAAAAAAGTTTAATTTTGAATATAAAAAAATCATAAAGGAAAATTGCGTTAAAGTTGGACACAAAGTAGTGTTCCTTATCTTTTTTGTCTTAAAGATCACGAGACATGGAAGTTATGTTTTTTTCTTTAGTTCATCAAAAAATTTTGTTTTAGACTGGGGATGTAATCAAGGATTTTGATTAACAATTAATTGTTCATAAATTTTTCATCGAATAAAAAGTTGTTTCATCTAATTAATTGATAACCTCCACTTAATGTAATGTTACAGCCGTCCACTAGAGGGAGCTGCCACTCATTCTTAAAGGAATAGTACACCCAAAACATGATTAGCCTTCATTTTCTA